CATTCGCCAGGTATGGAAGCAATGGGTCCATCTGTAAAAGGTTTCTTCATTGAATACAACTTTAATACTTCTTCCCGTAGAGAAGACTTCACCAAATCCTTGAAAATATTGTCCTTCAGACTTTTTTGGTTTCAAAACACTTGCAAGTCAATTTACTGAAGCCTTCTTCTAGCAGTGTTTGTTACATTCTCTCATCTTTCAATTTGATTTTTTGGTTGCTCATAGAAATCAGAAGTTGGCCAAAAATTCAATTAGTATGATTATCGGAGTTTGTTCTAATTTTTGAATACTCAATTATCAATCAATTTTCCCAAGAACATTAAAAATAGCTGGGGAAAAAGAAAAAAAGAAAAAAGAAGAACTACTTAAAAAGCATAAATAAAATAGCCAATTAATTGTAGAAATACAAGGCATACTAAAACAATTAAAAAGAGCAAGCTCCAAAAAACAAGAGAAAAAACAGCCAAACAGAGCATATATTACAATTCTATACCAGACTCACTGTATGTAGAAAATAGCTATGAATAAACCAAATGAAATAGCTACCGATCCACAAGCCAACTATAATAATCTAACTGAACAAGGAAATAGCAAGACAATAACTAACCATACAGCCACACATTGTTTTTTCTTAGGAATTGGGAAGAACTTGCATCAGGTGAAAAAATGGAAGAAAAAAAAAATCATTCGTAAACTTCTTCAAGATAAAAAGACATTTCTTGATTACCAGTGCACGAACATTCACCAAAAACATGCATGGTGTATGTGTGGCTCCCTCTACATAAAATTCCTCCTTGACATTTCTTGATTACCAGTGCACGAACATTCACCAAAAGTAATTCAAGCAGTAAATTTAAACTTTAGAGGTTCCCCGAGAGTATATATGGGGAAAAAATATTTTTCAAATAGAGTCTATATAAAATAGGTAAAGTTAGTATAATTTAAATTAAGTTTTGGTTTGTGCAGAAGTTTATATGTAATTAAGAAAATACATACTGACGTGGCTCTATTGGAAAAAAGTAAGCCCTTATAATGTGCCACCTTAGCATAAGAAAAACACTACTTTTAATTATATATATATATATGATGTAAGAAAGGAAATATAATTTCATATATAGAATCACTATAAAATTTAAACGACAAATCCATAATATATAATTGGTATTGGGGTATATAATAATGTATGAGAAAATAAATACATAAATATATATATATAATAAAATAAAAAACAATTTAGCATTAAAAAAAATTCGTTATGCCCTAAAAGAATTAAGAAGAAAAATGTGACTCAAAATTGGTATTGGGTTGTGGATTATCTCAATTTACTATGAAAAATATATAGAAAAGAAATATTTGTCAAATAAAGTCCATATAAAATAGTTAAATTAGGTTTGGATTTGTGTAGAACTCTACATGTAATTAACAAAATACATACTGACGTGACTCTCTTAAAAAAAAGTAAGCCCTGATAAGGTTTGTAGATTATCTCAATTTACGATGAAAAATATATGGAAAAGAAATATTTGTCAAAAAGAGTCCATATTGTAATAGTTCGTTCTGGCAGACCGCTCGAGCGGTCATTAGGTTGCTTGAGTGTAGATGCATAGCTCTCAGTAATTTGCCAGTTTTCAAGCGAGACCGTTCGAGTGATGAAGTGGTAGCTAGAACGTAGAAATTAGGCTCCCAGTATTTTCACTATAACTTTGCAAAACTTCTAGAAACTTGCATTTACCATTCAAGCAGTGAAAAGTTCGCTCAAGCAGTATGTTCGGAACAGCTCACTTAAAAGTCAATTAAATCCATTTATCTTTTACTTTTTCCGCCCTCTTTTCTCTCTCACCCATTTTCAAAACCCTGGCCCTAAAACATTTGATTTCTCTAGTTTTTACCTTAAATCCACCCTAGATCCTTCAAGGAGGTTGAAAGGAAAGCTTGGATCAAGAGTTCTACTGATCGTTTTGCTATTTCATCAAAGTTGGAGTTGGGTTTTTACTTTTTGTCTTCATTCTTGAGGTAGGGATACTTTTAACTTGTTATATCTTTGATTTGAGACACATATGCAGTATTTTCATTATATATATATATATAATGTGTTGTGTTAGTAAATGGGATTGATGAAAAGATGGCTATGCCTCATGATTATGGAAGAGTTTAGGTACATTATGGATAATTATTGTTGTTGATGATAAGAATTGGCCTTTAAACCATGAAAGAGGAAAAACCCTTAATTTTTCCAAAACCCTAATTTTCAAATTTGTTCAATAGAAAGGGGTTTTGCTCAGTTAGTCTCTAAAACTTGAAATTTGGTGTATTGACTTAACTTTGATGTCGTAATATGAGATTTTGAAACTTTTTAACACAAAACCTTGAAATGGTGATGGTTGTGAATCGGAGAATCTATTCATTGTTGATATGTAAATTATTGGATTGTTGTGAATTGAAATTACCATAGGGAAATTGAGATTTGGAAATTCATGCATCATATACCTTTATAATTATATTTTGTAACTCATAAAACATTGATTCATGGAAGATGTTGGAATGGGGTAAAAAGCGTATGAGTCCGGGTAGTGAGTCGGGCTTTGGTTTAAGTCGTGTAATGTATTTTGGTACCCGCATGAGGAGTGAAGGTGCCTAATTGCTTTGTCTTGTGTATATCGCTGGACGAATGTGAAAAAGGTTTTTAGGTGTCCATGAGCCTACCGTTTTTGGAGTCAGCAAATGTGGAAGGGGAAGGTTTTTGTTGTCTATCGCTCCACCATTTTTAGAGCCGATAGATGTGGGACTATTTTTTGTATATTAATCTGTATATGTATGTAAGGTTTGTGACTCTTGCTTGGGACGTCATAGCATATTTACCACTCCACTTTTGTTGATGAAACTTGGAAATCATGCTTGGAACAAAATTTCAATTTTAAAAGGAGAAAACATGAACTGTATTCCAATAAGTGAATAGCATGATTATATGTATTTCGATTAATTATATAACTTCTTAAATGTATTCCTATTGGACATTAGCTCACTCCAAAACTAACCACTTTTCAGGAAAAGATGTTGATGCGCTACCTCAATGATTTGCCTGGGAAAAGGATTTTGGATGGGAGCACGGATGCTCTCCTTTGATGTTTATATGTTAAGTCTAGGCTATTTTTGTTTGAAAATGTAAAATTCAAATTTTGTGTATTTAAGGACACTCCTTGAGAAAATGTTTGCCTTTTTGGCTCTTTTCTTTTGTATCACTTCTTGTCTCTTGAAATATTTTATTTTATCAATGGATGTAAACGTACAATGATAATCACTGGAATAGTTCAATGGGAAAGAGGTAGTCTTGAAATTTGTTTAATTATTATGGATTTGTTACTCTCTTCTATACATCTATATCGAGTTAAACCCAAGTAAGCATGATTCAAGAGGACATTTTTCTCAAGACATTACACACATAAAATTGATAAAGTTAATATAATTTAAATTAAGTTTGGATTTGTGTAGAACTTTATATATAATTTAGAAAATACATACTGACTTAGTTCTTTTAGAGAAAAAAAAAATATGCCTTCATAATGTGCCACACAAATATGAAAACAAATACTATTTTTAATAATATATATATATATATATATATGATAATAATATAAAAGATACGAGATGTATAATCTAGTAAAAGAATCCACATTACTATTGTCATATAGTCATTTTTAATCCTTGATTGAACAAGTCATTTAATCTGATAGTTAGCTACAACCTTATCATTTTAAAGCCTTTAAATAGTTTTAATCCTATTAAGTTAAATTGTTGCGTCAACCAAGGATTGTAATGAATTGTAATCTTCATGATTAGTAGTTTTTGGTAATAATGTCATTTGCTTCTTGACCAGTATAAGATGACAATGATGGAAACAAAATGATTTTTTTTTTTAATTAGCAAAAAGAGAAAATTTATTGTTGAAACGGAAATAAATACTTTTAGATCAATAAGTCAAGGTGACAAAATGCTTCATTGCCGACTAATATCCCAACTAAGTTGTCATATACAAAGCTAGCAAATCATGTGCACATCCAGACATAAAAATAAAAAAATCCCAAGAAGGTTAGCAAGGCACCGACCAACGACCACCAAACAAAATAAACCAGCAAAACAAACACCATCTAAATAAGTCTAAACAACCCAGCCAACAAAAATCAACAAGGGCAACAACAACCAACCAAGTAAAAGAAGTCGTCAATCCAAAGGAGGATGCTACCACCCACCCATTCTGATTTGCTCAACCACCAAAAACTGAAGACAGTGAACAGAAGTTGATAAACCCGTATCGTTACTACTCCTAACAAGAATTTACATCCCATAGCAAAAAATTCGAAAAAACGCTCACAAAACCAACTGTCTATTTGCAAAAAAATGAGCATGCATAAACCTCTATCTGCTCAATCTGATTTGCTGAAAATTGAGTACAAAGTCATTCACCGTATAATCCTTGAAAATATTATTGGCCTTGGATTAACATGCTACTCTCAACTTAATCGCTTTAGTAATGGAATCCCAACTAAGTTGAATTCTTCCAAAAAGTAATTGATTTCTAGCAAACCCAATTGACCATAAAATTGCTAAAGGAATTACCTTCCAAACAGCTCTATGCCACTACAAAATTCTCATTCTAAGTTCTCATCCTTTAAGCATTCGCCATGTATGAAAGCAGTGGGTCCATCTGTAAAAGGTGTCCTCCTTGAATACAACTTTAATACCACTTCCTGTGGAGAAGACTTCACCATATCCTTGAAAATATTGTCCTTCAGACTTTTTTGGTTTCAAAACACTTGCAAGTCAATTTGCTGAAGCCTTCTTCTAGTAGTGTTTGTTACATTCTCTCATCTTTCAATTTGATTTTATGGTTGCACTAAAAAATTAGAAGTTGGCCAAAAATTCAATTAGTATGATTATCTGAGTTTGTACTAATTTTTAGATAAGCTCCAAAAAACAAGAAAAAAAAACAGCCAAACAGAGCATATATTACAATTCTATACCTAACTCAATGGATGTAGAAAATAACTATGATAAACCAAATGAAATAGCTACCGATCCACAAGCCAACTATAATAATCTAACTTAACAAGGAAACAGCAAGTCAATAACTAACCATACAGCCAATACATTGTTTTTTCTTGGGAATTGGGAAGAACTTGCATCAGGTGATAAAAGGGAAGGAAAAAAAAAATCATACGTAAACTTCTTCAAGATAAAAAGATATTTCTTGATTACCAGTGCACAAACATTCACCAAAAACATGCATGGTGTATATGTGGCTCCCTCTACATAAAATTCCTCCTTGACATCAAAATAGCAATCAACCTCTGCGCCAAAAATAAGGGAAAAAAAAAAAAAGAAAAAGAAAAAAGAAAAAAAAAGAGGGATAGTGAGTAGAGCACAAAGAGAAGGATGCAATCACTAAAAAAAGAACAAAATCTTGAGCCCTACACCTATAACACCGATACACAACTAGAACCCACGCCAGCCTCGAGTGCCCTACACCTGACCCAAACAGCTCTTGAGCCCCCAAACTCTTGAAAACCCCACGCCTGACTGGACACACCTGTGACTGCCGACAACCACCTGAGACTGCAAAACCTGCTGGTTTCTCCTTCTCATTATTATTATTGCTAGATAGATTGAGCATGTACCATTCTTTGATGTTGTAAGAATCGTCAAACTCAGCGGTGGATAAACAGAAATATTTGTCATATATAGGAGGCTGTGGATTTTCTGTACATCTCACGATAACCGGTCCTCCTCTGTTCCTTCTCCCCATATCTATCGACCGCCGAGACGATGATGATGATGCCATCTAAGAAACGAATTAAAGTTGAAGACATCATTAACGCAGAAACACAGGATGCATAATAGATACCTGAGTAGATTGGGCTGTCGGAGTCGAAATCGTTAAAGGAAGAAACGATTAAAAGAAAGGGAAGTTGTTACGGCTGTCGGAGCTTCTCAGCGACGAGAATCTATGGCCACTGGTGAGGGCTTTGGGGAAGCAAATCGCTATGGTTGAGGTAGGGAAAACAGATCACAGTGATGAAAACAGATCACCGCCAAATCAGATCCCAAAGACGGGTTTGGGTTTGGGTTTGGGTTTGGGTTTCTTTTCCACCCCTCCAAAAAGTCAAAATAACAAAATTAATCTTGAATCTTTAATTTTGTCAACTTAAATTATAATATTTTATTTTTTTTCTTCTTAATTTAAAATATTCATCTATTTGTAATAAGTAAAATTGATGAAAAAAAAATATTTTAATTATTAAACTCGATATAGATATTTAGAAAATGTCTTATATATATATTTTTATTAAATTTAATGACTACAACATATATATTTTGTTTTCAATTTTATTTAATGAAAATAAACAAATAGTTTAAATTAAAAATAAATCAAAAATTTAGAGTTTAAATTGACAAAATTAAAATTTTAGGATTTATTTTATCACAAGACTCAAATCCAAATTTTTTATTTTTTTTTTGTAATATTCCCAAAAAAAAAAAAAATTTGGGTTGGGGTTCAGTATGGGTGGACTTGAGTTTTGGGTTTCGGTAGATTTGGGATTTAAATTGTAATTTATTAGGTAAAAATAGTTTAAATAAATAAAAAATAACTAATTATTTGAAAGATGTCAGAAAGTATTTTTTGAAATTTGTTTGGTTTGATTACTTTTAAAAAATTATTTGTAGAGAAAATTTCTCAAAAATTTTTCAGAAATACAAACCAAACGAACCCTTAGAGTTTAAATTGACAAAATTAAAATTTTAGGATTTATTTTTATCACAAGACTCAAATCCAAAAGTTTTTTTTTTTTTTTTTTTTAATATTCCCAAAAAAAAAAAAAAAAAAAAATTGGGTTGGGATTCAATATGGGTGGACTTAGTTTTGGGTTTCGGTAGATTTGGGATTTAAATTGTAATTTATTAGGTAAAAATAGTTTAAATGAATAAAAAATAACTAATTATTTGAAAGATGTCAGAAAGTATTTTTTGACTTATACTTTTTGAATTATCAATTTTTAACTTACAATACATTATACATTCTTCAGTCCATAATCTAAATTTGAGGTTGTTATTTATGCATGTGGTGTTTATCATGTGTCCCGTTCTGATAATTTAAATTATTCATTTTATAATGTTACGATTATTGAATTGATCTAATTATTATTTTTATTTCTTTATTGAGTAATTAATGTAGAACAAGAATTATATATTTTTTATGTTTTTATTTGGGACAATTATAAATAATAATAATAAAAAAAACTCTGATGTTTCTTTTAACAAAATAAATCATGAGTTTTTAATTTTGTCAATTTAAACGCTAATATTTTGATTTATTTTTAATTTAAACCATTCACCTTTTTTCATTAAGTAAAAACCGATTGAAAAATAATATTTTAGTCATTAAATTCAATGTAGGTATACATAAAATGTCTAAAATATTAATTCAATGACTAAAATGTATTTTTTTTTTTTATCAATTTTACTTAACGAAAATAGATAAATAATTTAAGTTAAAAATAAATCAAAAGTTTTAAATTGATAAAATTAAAAATTAAAAATTTATTTTATTACAAGGGTTAAACTTTGGATTTTTTTTTTTTTATAATTGTCCCTTTTTATTTTTTATAATTTTAGAATTAAATTTGCAAAGAATTTTAAATAGTTTAGATTTTTAATTTCATATTCTCTTTAGTTTCCTAATTTATATTGATTTAAGTTTCCTAATTTATTTAGAATTATTTTTCTACAAGCTTATGTTTTTCATCCATTCAATCAAATAATATATATACGGATGGCAAAGACAAGAAAAATTAAAATTTTTCTTAATGGAATGGAGGTATAATAAATTCATATTATTTATAATAATGTTCTTAGATTATTTATACTAAAGTTTTTAGAGATTGTCTATCTTTCTAGTTTAGACCTATGTCAATTATTTTTCAACACATTTAGTTGTCTCAGTTTGCGTGTACCAATCCTCAAGCTGCCATAGTGTCAAGAGATGGGAAAAATTATTTGGTACTTTTAGGTACTGCCACGTGCCTCTTCCACCAATCACAACATTATTGGGATACCACGTAGCAATATCCTATGATCAACCAATAACTTCTTGAGAAAAATACCATCTGGCCCAGTACATGAGGTTTATATGAGAACGCACCGTAGGTCAATGAAATTAGAAAAGGGGATGTTGTTATCCAAGTCACAACAGGTTGCTGTGAGTTTGGTAGATGCCCATTCCGATTTTTTATTTTTTTTTATTTTATGAGTTGAACAGTTCATATTATAAAATTTATTAAGTAAATTATTCATATAAAAAATCAAATTGATTGAAATCAAAATCTCTATAATAAGAGCACATTTGTTTTTTAAAAAATAAACAGGTAACATTATTTTTATAATTTTTAAAAATAATTAAGACCCGATCATAGGCCTACAAATGTTTGATTAATTTGATTTTCTTACATAAATGATATGCTCAACGAACCCTATAATATAAACTATTTGAATTATCAAAAAAAAACTTAGAATGGGCCTCTACGAAAACTCAGAATAAGATGCTGTGACTTGGAGTTACAACAGTATTCCATGTCTATAGCGACCCCGGTCTTTTCCCATTTGATTATTGTATCCGGACTTAAGTTCCGTTTGTTCTGTCATTGTGTAATTGTTGTTGTCGTCCTTTATTTTCTCAATTGGAGTTATAGGATATGTTGGGCAGGTTTGTTTCAGGTTGGTTGGGTTCGTAAACCAAGTGTTGCTGTCCAGTTTTTGGGTTGGTCGCTCGAGCCAGGGTTTGGTCGCTCGAGCCAGGGTTGTATTTTGTGTCTTCTGGCTCGATCCAGCTTTGCTTCGCTCGAGCGAGTGATTGCGTCTAGTATAGACCTGAGGGCAGTGCTTATTCGCTCGAGCGAGATCTTCTTCGCTCGAGCGAGCGAGGTGTATGTTTTCGAGTTCCTTGCTCGAGCGAGCATTCTGTCGCTCGAGCGTGCTCCAGGGTTGCAGACTTGAAGCATTGCATTCTTGGCTCGAGCGAGCTTTTCTTCGCTCGAGCGTGGGTTTCGTGTGTCTGGTCGCTCGAGCGACCAAGTCTTCGCTCGAGCGAGCCTGTCCAGTTTAAATAGGCAGCAGCGGGTTTTTAATCAGTTTTTATCCTCTTTTTGATTCCAAAACCCTAGGTCCGAATTTTCTCTCCCTCTACTCACCTTCTCTCTTAGGTTTGATCTACTTAGAGTGAGTTTCTACCTTAGATCCTTTATTGAAAAGATAGAGTGAGTCGAAGGCTTTCATTTAATCTGAACATTTGGTGATTTAGAGCACATTGGAATTTGGGTATTCATCTCAGGCTTCTCCATTCGGGTTATTTTCTTCGAGGTAGGGATTTCCTACTCCATCTTATAAGTTTTGTTCTAAGTTTTAGTATTTTGATATGTTGGGGGTACTTTGGTAATTTTGGGGAAAAACCCTAGTTGTATTAATAAATTAATTTGTATAATTAATTTAAGGAAATTGGGGAAGTATGGTTAAATTCATGGAATTGGGGAATTCATTGATTAAATGGCGTAGTTGGATAATTTAAATCACTCGCCTATTGAATTGTTGATATATTTATTTCCAGTTTAGAATTAACTGTTTTGGGCTATCGGTGGAGGATAGCCGTGCTTGTTGTAGATACTGCATGTGGATTAGGGATAACTGAAACTAATCATTGATTAAGTCATCAATTTTGACTGCTGAATTAATACAGACATTATGTGTATTGATTGTGTGTTGTATATGTTATGTGTTTACATACATTGTTTTGTGTGGGAGGAGATAGGGGATGTACTTCACGGTTCAGGGGAAGATAGGGGATGGACCTTTAAATCGGATTTTGTTTGGGAGGAGATAGGGGATGGACTCCATTAGCATCACTTTTATGTGTGCTTATTTATATTGAAGTGTTTTTATTGATACAGCACTAAAATGTGTATCAATGGGAAGTATGAAGTGTTTTGATTTGAACCTGAGTCTCATTTGTTTGTTGACATTGGAAGAATGTGAATATGATATATATATAGTTCACTGTTGTAAGTTTGGCCAGGTTCTGAGCCATATTGATAATGTTGGAAAGTAAAACGTGTCTTAGACATTAGTGTCATGAAACTGTATAATGATGTAATTGATTATCTTGGTTAACCATCTATTGAATGCTTTAGCTTTATTCAATGCTTATATTTGGTTTAGTATTTTTCTACTGGGCTGTGGCTCACCCTTTATGGGAACATCATTTTCAGGTTCAGGTGATAAGCTACCTCCAAGGACTTAGCTTGGAAAGAATTGGAGTTGAAGACTCTGTTTAGTTTAGTTGTTGTTTATTTATTTGATATTACATGTAAACATTCAAGCCTAGGGCTTTATTTGTATTTGAGTTAGAACTCATATTTTGTGTCCAAGTGTTGGCTTGGAAAGATGTAAGCCCTTAGGGCATTTATTTTGATGTTACATGTAATGGCTTTCAATAAAAGTACTCTGATGAATAATTCAAATGATTCGTTTCTTCTATTAATGCATGATATTGTTGTGTATATTATGGGTTTATTTTGGGGGTGTTACAATGTCCATGAAATTAGATTCCTAAACCCAATTAAGAAATGCAATGCTGCGATCATCTTGATTTGCGTGCACACAGGTCTGATCTGATTCAGTTGGAGAGCTAAGAGATGGGACTCTCTAAGGCAAAAATATTTATGTCTCGATGTGAATATAGTGTAACTAGTTACTCTAGAGTGATTATGATGAATTGAAAAATTAATGAACAATTTGTCTAGATTCTACTTATTCTGAGAGATGGACTTCCTTAAGTCGTTAATTATTATTGATATATTTAATTTAATTTATTTATTTGAAATTATCGTGCAAAATTTGTGAGATTCACACTTAACGTATAAGAACATTATTAATTTTATACCGAAAAATAGTAGAATTTTGGAAGAAAAATCCAAAATCCTAAATATACATGGGTTAAAAGTTATTTTTTAGCTTTAGACTTATTTTAAATCACATTATTTTTTACATCTTTTTTATAAATAAAAAAATTTAAAACTTAATTTTTAACCATCTTCTAAAGAAAATAAAAATGAGAGTTTTGTTTTTTTGAGGTCTCAAGACTGATTAGACCCTTCCTTTTTTTCCCATTTGAGAATCTAATTTTCTTTACAACTTTCTTTCTCTTTTGTCCCCCTTTCACTAAAGGGTTAGGAAATGTGCTAGCCCATCTCACTAAAAGGGTTTGGAAAGTTGTTGTTGTTTTTTTTTTTTTTTATAGTGATTTTTGTAATTTTTTAATTAAAATATGATATGAAAAAAATTACTCCGAGAAAGATTTATCGAGGTGGTGTTGGTGGTGTAAAGCAGCTGGGCTTGCAGTAGGTGCAAAGCGGAGTTGTGATTCTTCTTCTACAACTTGTCTATACAGAGCATGCAATAAATGCTCTTTTTGTTTTTTTCAACAGGCAATAAATGCTATCTTATTCTTAAGGCCTGTGAACTTATTTGATTGAATAATATTATATACATTAATTAATATATTAATTAGTATATTAATAAATAATGTGATATAATTTTTTAAAAAAATTAATATTTATAATTTATATAATAAGTAAATCAATGATAATAACATAACTTAACTACTTCTTCTGTCTCAAAATAATGGTTCTTTTTTGAAAAATTTAACTTTTTTTGATAGTACAATTATTACATTTGAAAAAAGTTAATTTTCTAAAATTACGCTTTGATAGTATATTTTTTAAAAATATCAATGTCATAATTGTACTTTTTATATTATTTATTAATTTAAAAAAAGAGCAAAATAAAAAATTTATATATTATAGAATATTCTCAAACATTCTCTCAAAAAATGTTTGAGTAGAATATTCTCTCAAAAAATCAAGAAGATCAAACATCGATAGTTATATATTTGAATCAAATCTATATCTATATCTATACTATATATTAAGCAAAAGGGGGTTTTTAACCCCAAGGCCTGTAGGAGCTCCAATCTCCTAATCCTAATTTTCTAATTTTTTGATTTTAAAAAAAAAAACCTCAGCATTTATTAACTTCTCCCAACCTAACCTCAGCATTTATTGACTTCTCCCAACCCACAATCTCTTTTGACTTCTCTCATAATTATTGCAACACCCTTTTCAATTTCTCCCATACACTATGGTTACACACAAAAATTTTAAAAAATATATATATAAGAATTTAGCTATAGATCTCAAAAAGATATAACATCTAAATTTGAATTATGATTTAATAATACAATTATGTATTTTTTTTATGTATATCTATCAAAATTTTAAATCACTTAATGAGACAAATTAATCAATTTTCATAATATAATTATGTATTTTTTTATGTATACCTATCAAAATTTTAAATCACTCAATAGGACAAATTAATCAATTTTTCAAAATTATTGATTTTTAATTTACAAAATAGATTAAAAAAAACTATTGACTGATTTATTTATTTAATAACAAAAATATTTCATAATCTCTCCCTCCTAATCTCTCTCACAAATTTTCAAAAAAAAAATATTAAAACTTGCATTCCTTTTCTCTTCCCAAAAAATCAGATAATATTTTTTTATTAAAGTTGTAGATATCTAACTATATTTTATATATTATATTATAACATAACAAAAGAAAACTAAAAAACTAAAAAAAAAATCTTTAAAGTTTATCCAAATAAACTTTAAATCAATAAAACTCACATCTCTATCACATATCTAACTCACATCATAACTTACCTAAATAATAATAATTAAAAACAAATAGAAACCACAAATAAATTAAATTTTTTTAAAAAAGATGCCCACAACTCCATCTTAAATAAATTGAAAAAAAAAATACTCGAATAGAAACCACACAAAAATAAAAATAAAAATAAAAATAAAAAGATATATCTATCTATATCTATACTATATATTAAGCAAAAGGGAGTTTTTAACCCCAAGCCTTGTGGGAGCTCCAATCTCCCAATCTAAATTTCCTGATTTTTTGATTTAAAAAAAAAAACTTAGATAGTACAATTATTACATTTGAAAAAAGTTAATTTTCTAAAATTACCCTTTGATAGTATATTTTTTTGAAAATATCAATGCCATAATTGTACTTTTTATATTATTTATTAATTTAAAAGAAGAACAAAATAAAAAATTTATATATTATAGAATATTCTCAAACATTCTCTCAAAAAATGTTTGAGCAGAATATTCTCTCAAAAAAACAAGAAGATCAAACATCGATAGTTATATATTTGAATCAAATCTATATCTATATCTATACTATATACTCTATATTAAGTAAAAGGAGGTTTTTAACCCCAAGCCTTGTGGGAGCTCCAATCTTCTGATCTAAATTTTTTGATTTTTTGATTTAAAAAGAAAAAAAAAACTTAGCATTTATTAACTTCTCCCAACCCCCAAGTCTTACCCTCATAATAACACTTTAATGCATTAAGAACAAGCATAAAAAAAATTCTTTAAAATCCAACACATGAATTCCTTGAAAAGTTCCAACCCATATGATTATTATACCTCATAATAATATTTTAATGTATTAAGAACAAGTATAAAAAAAAATTCTTGAAAAGTCCAACACATATAATTATTATCAAATATTAAACTTTAATATAATATAATAAAAAAAAGACATTTAATTCCTTGAAAAAGTCCAACATATATTATTATTATCAAAATATTAAACTTTAATATAATATAAAAAATGAAAAAAAAAGAAGAAATTAAAAAAAAAAGGACTTTAAAATCACAATTCACATATATAAATAATTATAAACAAGTACGGATAATACGCCAGTACTTTATATAATCGAAATAGGTCTCTCTGATACATTTTAAGACACATACTTCAAACCTGATCATTAATTTTTTTTCAAGGCCTCCTATATAAACCAGATTTACATACACACCATTTTCAAGCCTCAGCAAATTTTCCAAGCCTCTCTCATCCACGAATTACGAAAAAGAATTTAAAAAAAAAAAAAAAAATCGAAGTTCAATGAGTTCAATTGAACCCACAACTTTATGCATAGCTCCACCCATGCACAGAAAGCAATAAGATTACACAAATGAGAAACATTTCTGCTTTTCTCTATGAAAACAAAATATTGGGAAAGGAAGGGGAAAACATCAAATGCAATCAAAAATGAATCTGAACTTGAGGAGACCTATAACTAGGACCAACCTTGTAAAAAATTAGCGCTAGTGAATCTGCCAAAGCAACCAACATGAAAACTGAACAGGACGAGTCAAGATGCAAACTTTTTTGTCAAATAATTTAAATTACCCTTTATCAAACTGATGCTGCCCTGTAAGAATATATACACTATACTTTAAAGAGCCTGCAAAGTAGGCAACAACCTTCTAACTCTCATGTATTGAGTACAAGAAGCAGAGCTTCTAACTTTGCCTTTTCACATGGAAAACAAGCATCAAGACAGCAATTTGAGCCACCTGATTACATGCAACGCAACAAACCCTAACCCACTGTACAATTTGCTCTCACAATGTACAACAAGGACACCAAAACTTCCTTACCCAAACCAGAATGACCCCTTAATAAGAATGTTCTGGTTGGGACTCGAATCTCGGTGTAAATATCCTCCATTTTCTTCCACTATATAATGAGAAAAATATGGCACCACCCAGGAAGAAAACATATAACGGGGTATATATGGTTGTCGGCTTCGAACAGGGTAATCAAAACCCGGAAAGGATATACCTTAAGTTTACTCATCATGTTCCAATGATTTGCCATTATACGCATTTGCGACGGTCTCTTTCTCCTTCAAAAGACATCGAATAGGAACATAAACAAATCCCTTAGGTAATCGCTGATTCTTCATACATGCTTGATTCGTTCATAGATGCTTGATCTGATGTCATTACAAGCTCCTTTTCAAATGTTTCCATATGCTGTGTGATTTATACGCACCAGCGAACATTTTCATTTAGATACAATCTTTTGATCAACTAAACAAAAGTTTCAATTGAACCAACAACATAAGAGGTGTAACGCACAATTATACCTTTCTAGAAATTGACCTCTTTTCCCCATCATCGGAAAGATTCTGAGATGCAACAAATGGTCTCAATGGGATTTGTTTCCCAGAGAATGAGGAGCTCCAATCTCCCAATCTAAATTTCTTGATTTAAAAAAAAAAAAAAACTTAGCATTTATTAACTTCTACCAGCCCCCATGTCTTACCCTCATAATAACACTTTAATGCATTAAGAATAAGCATAAAAAAATTCTTTGAAATCCAACACATGAATTCCTTGAAAGTCTCAACCCATATGATTATTATCCATCATAATAATATTTTAATGTATTAAGAACAAGTATAAAAAAAAAAGAACAATGCTACAGACCCCCAGTGGGGGTCCGACTCCCAGTGACGTGGCGTGACCTCATTGGCTGGAAAAAAAAAACAGTTTTTTTTCGCCCAATCAGGGCCCTACACGCACGACCCCAGCACCCCCACTGGGGTCGGAGGCATTTTCCAAAAAAAAATTCTTAAAAAGTCCAACACATATAATTATTATCAAATATTAAACTTTAATATAATATAATAAAAAAAAAGACATTTAATTCCTTGAAAAAGTCCAACATATATGATTATTATCAAAATATTAAACTTTAATATAATATAAAAAATGAAAAAAAGAAGAATTTTTTTTTAAAAAAAAAAGACATTTAAAAATCGCAATTCACATATATAGATAATTGTAAATATATTAAGAAAAATGGGGTTTCTAAACCCCAAGCCTTGTGGGAGCTCCAATCTCTCAATCTTAATTTTCTAAATTTTTGATTTAAATAAAAAAAACTCAGCATTTATTGATTTGGTCAAAATCCCTAATTAGCATTTAAAATCTGCACATACAAATAATTATAGATACAGTCCGTGTATAGTTACTGCAGTAGCCTTTTTAATTTCTCCTGTACACTATGGTTAGTGATAAGATTGTTAAATTATTTTTATAAAAAATCTTAAAAAATATAATTTATATATTAAAAAAAATTAAAAAAAATATAAATATCTATAATTATCCCGTGCATAGCACGGGTGATAGGCTAGTCTATACTATATATTAAGCAAAAGGGGGTTTTTAGCCCCAAGTTTTGTGGGAGTTCCAATCTCCTAATATAAATTTCTTGATTTTTTGATTTAAAAAAAAATAATCTTAGCATTTATTAACTTCTCCCAACTTTCAAGTCTTACTCTCATAATAACACTTTAATGCATTAAGAACAAGCATAAAAAAAATTCTTTGAAATCCAACACATATGAATTCCTTGAAAAGTCCCAACACATATGATTATTATCCCTCATAATAACACTTTAATGCATTAAGAATAAGCATAAAAAAAATTTCTTGAAAAGTCCAACACATATGATTATTATCAAAATATTAAACTTTAATATAATATAATAATAAAAAAAAGACATTTAACTTCTTGAAAAGTCCAAGACATATGATTATTATCAAAATATTAAACTTTAATATAATATAAAAAAGGAAAAAATGAAGACATTTAAAAAAAAAAAAGAGAAGAAAACATTTAAAAATCACAATTCACATATATAGATAATTGTAAACACAATCCGTGCATAGCACGAGTGATATGCTAGTACTATATATTAAGCAAAATGGGGTTTTTAACCCCCAAGGGCTGTGAGAGTTTCAATATCCCAATCTGAATTTTCTAAATTTTTTATTTTTTATTTAAAAAAAAATCTCAACATTTATTGATTTGGTCAAAATTCCCTAATCAGCATTTATTAAATTTTTTTCAATCCACATGTCTTTCCACATGACTGCATTTATTGATTTGGTCAAAACCCCCTAATCAGCATTTAAAATTCTATCATACAAATAATTATAGATACAATCCATGTATAGTTACTGCAGTGCCCTTTTGAACTTCTCTCATACACTATGGTTAATGATAAGATTGTTAAATTATTTTTATAAAAAATCTTAAAAAACATAATTTATATATTAAAAAAAATCTAAAACAAATATAAAATATCTATAATTATCATGTGCATAGCACGGGTGATAGGCTAGTATTATCTATACTATATATTAAGCAAAAGGGGGTTTTTAACCCCCAAGGCCTGTGGGAGCATCAATATGTCAATCCTAATTTTCTAATTTTTTGTTTTTTTTAAAAAAAAAATTAACCTCAGCATTTATTAACTTCTCTCAACCCACAAGACTTTTGAATTCTCTCATAATTACTGCAGTACTTTTTCCAAAACAAATAATTTGCATATTAAAAAAAAATTAAAACAAATATAAATATCTATATCTGTATCTATCTATTTAGACTTTTTGACTTCTCTCATAATTACTGCAGTACATTTTCCAAAACAAATAATTTGTATATTAAAAAAATTTAAAACAAATATCTATATCTATATCTATATCTATATCTATATCTATTTATTTATTTATATCTATCTCTAACCCACAAGTTTTGTGGGAGTTCCAATATCTGAACTTTAATTTCTTAATTTCTTTGATTTTTTTTGAAAAAAAAAAAAACTTAGCACTTATTAAATTCTCCCAAGTCATTTTAACTTCTCCAATACACACACTCTTTTTAAGTTTTCACATACCCATTGCAAACAGTGAGTCTCCTTTTTGTTTTCTCATTCTTGACTTCTCACTTCTACACTTTCAACTTCAGTGACCACGTATGCAAACAATAAGTCTTTTTTTTATTTTCTCCTTTTTGACTTTTCCTTTTGTTTACTATTTTAATATTGTAGTTAGATAGCGCATAAAAATATTTGTGATTTGTCTAGCGAATAAAAAATTATAATTTGATTTTTTAATATGATTGAAGTTAGATAAATATAAACCCTCACAAAGAGAAAAATGTGATTATAATTAGTTGAATGATTCTTTGTTTTAATGTGATTGTAGTTAGTTTAATAGTTCTTTTTTTTCATTTATTTATTTTATTATGTGAAAAATGTGATGTGATTGTAGTTTGTTCAATGACTCTTTTTTTAAATATGATTGTTGTAGTTAATTCAATGGTTTTTTTTAATGTTATTTAATCTTTTTATTTACTATTTTAATTTAATTTTTGATTTTTTTAATATGATTGAAGTTAGATAAATATAAACCCTCAGAAAGAGGAAAATGTGATTATAATTAGTTGAATGATTTTTTTTTTAATGTGATTGTAGTTAGTTTAATAGTTCTTTTTTTTTCATTTATTTATTTTATTATGGAAAAAATGTGATGTCATTGCAGTTTGTTCAATGGCTCTTTTTTTAATATGATTGTTGTAGTTAGTTCAATGATTTTTTTTAATGTTATTTAATCTTTTTATTTACTATTTTATTTTTATTTTTAACATGATTGAAATTAGATAAATATAAACATTCACAAAAAAAAAAATGTGATTATAGTTAGTTCGATGGTTCTTTTTTTCATTTATTTATTTATTTTATTATGGGAAAAATGTGATGTGATTGTAGTTTGTTCCATGGTTCTTTTTTTTAATATGATTTAATTTTTTATTTGCTGTTTTAATGGTTTTTCTTTACAATTATTTATGAAAAAAATATGATTGTAGTTAGATAGCATAAAAATATTTGTGATTTGATTTGATTTTTTTTGTGATTTGATTTTTAAAGTACCAATTATTGATAATGATTAGATTGTATTCTGAAAAAAAAATTGTAATTGATTTTTTTAACTCACTGTGTTTTTTGAAAAAAAATTATTGTGTTTTTTTAACTATCAGTTCACTTAACTTGTGATTTGATTTTTAACTCACTATGTTTTTTGAAAAACAAAATGGATTGTACTCATTAGGGTCATATAATGTACCAATTATTGATGATGATTATCTCCTTCTTGACTTCTCACTTCTGCACTTTCAACTTCAATGACCACGTATGTAAACAATAAGTCTTCTTTTTGTTTTCTTCTTCTTAACTTTTCTTTTTATTTACTGTTTTAATATTATAGTTAGATAGCGCATAAAAATATTTGTGATTTGTTTAGCGAATAAAAAATTATAATTTGATTTTTTAATATGATTGAAGTTAGATAAATATAAACCTTCACAAAGAGAAAAATATGATTATAATTAGTTAAATGATTCTTTTTTTTAATGTGATTGTAATTAGTTTAATAGTTCTTTTTTTTCATTTATTTATTTTATTATGGGGAAAAATGTGATATATTGGCTCTTTTTTTTTTAATATGATTGTTGTAGTTAGTTCAATGATTTTTTTTAATGTTATTTAATTTTTTTATTTAATATTTTAATTTTATTTTTGATTTCTTAATATGATTGAAGTTAGATAAATATAAACCCTCACAAAGAGAAAAATGTGATTATAATTAGTTGAATATTTTTTTTTTAATGTGATTGTAGTTAGTTTAATAGTCCTTTTTTTTCATTTATTTATTTTATTATGGGGAAAATGTGATGTGATTGTAGTTTGTTCAATGGCTCTTTTTTTTTAATATGATTGTTATTGTAACGACCCTCACTTCAACTTAGTCATACTTGCATACATTTATGTATGATCTTGTTTTGTTGTGTGCATTTGCAAACCCTGTCTTGTTTTGCTTGAGTGTTGCTGCATGCTTTGTTCTTGCCTGGTGTGTTGCCGAGGTCTTCTTAAGCCTAGACACCTTGGAACCTTTCCACATTTAGAACTATCTTGGAACCACTTCTGTTGACCTCCATCTCCACCCTGGCATATTTGCCGAGATGTCTCTATCTAGGCCGAGGTGTGCAGTACCAAGGCCGAGATGTGCATCATCTAGGCCGAGATCTTTATCCTTGCACCTAGTGATTTTGTTCCTGGATTGGTATGACCTTGTAATAACCCGACCCTCGCACATGATTTCTGTTATATTCTCAGTCCTCAATTGGTACTTTTAAATGCTTACTGTGTAGTTCCGTGAAAAAAATTATGATTAAGGAAGTGAAATCCATGTCTATGCATGTCTATCTGTTTCACAAGGAAACTATCTGTCACCATTAACACGTTTGAATTAGAAATTGGAAGCCTTAACAGCTTAATTAGCTGAAATTGATTATATATCCGTAATCATCATAATTTTTAGGTAATAT